ATGTTGCCCTATGACAATGGTTAACAATCTCACAACACATCAACAATATCCTTACTCTACTTTGTGTTCCCTATCATCAGCTTCCTACTCCCCTTTTTTCATAAGTTTTAAATTTTTATATATCAAATTTGTCAGTCTTTTCTTTATTGACTTCTGAGTTTTGATTCTTGTTTAGGAAGGCCTTCGAACTTCAAGACTACAAGAATAATTTCTAAAATTTTCCTTTAATACTTTTTAATAGTTATTTATACTTTTATTTTTTAATCATTATGGAATTTCTTTTTGTTGTAGTATGAGGTAGGATTGATATTAAATTCCCATATGTGCATAGTTATGTTTTTGGACTGTGGTTTCGTTGATTCATTTACCTTTTTCTATGCCACTACACATTATTTAAGGAGCCCTGGTGGCTCAGTGGTAAAGCTCTCTGCAAGATTGGCAGTTCACACCCAACCGCTGCTCTGTGGGAGAAAGACCTGGCAATCTTTGTATATGTAGAAACTGTTGAATTGGTGTATGCTTTGCTGTATATATTCTTAACAACAACGAAATTAACTCTTTGTTGATTTACTCTAGGATGGTGTGTGTATATATGCAGTAAACTTCCCTGATTTAGACTGCTTAAAAGATAAGTCTAAATTAGTGAAAAGTCTGATTAATGGAATATTTAAATACATGAAGTTTATCACTTTAAAGTAAGTAGTTTTCTTTAAATTAAAAAATTAACTGTACTTCTTGATAGTCAGGATATGATCAGGAGGGACAAAAATGTACAAGACTGAGTGAAACCTAATTGGCTGAATTCCAATAAACAATCCCTGTTTAGAATTCACCAAATTTAGAAAGAGGTTGTTAGCGTCTGCTTTCTAGAGAGAAAATGATTACTCTGTCAGGGTAAACTCTGCTATCAAAAGGGAGAATTTCAAGAATATAAAACATCTAAAATATAAGAGCTAGGATTTACCTAGAACTGCAAATATTGATTCACAGATGGAAACTCTTCTTGGCTCAGAAGAGTGTTTCTATGAAATAGGTAACATATATAATGTGGGATATTAGGGTTGTATCTGAGAACTGGAAAGCTATTCAAGGAAGATATGGGGCAGCTGTCCTATTGCTGACGAAGGGAAAGCAGAGGGAGCTTAATAAGGAGAGGACAAAATGGAAATAGGTCCTTTATTCCTGTGTTGGTAGAATGCCCTCAAACAAGGAAATTTTTACCAACTTCAGTAAGTGGGTGTCCCAGGGCAGAATGGGGATTAGAAGGATGCACGACCAGTGTTGGGTATATGAGCACCAATGCGTGTTCTCATCATCCTTAAGTCATTGTGTTTGCAGTTTGGGTTTATAGTTACTGGGGAGAGATTCCTTGCCTAATCTGTGGGACGGAGACTGAAACACGAGAATTTCTAGTTTGAGAGCTGGGAAAGAATGGGTTCTCTACTGTTGGAGATTACGCTCTAGATATGTGGAGGAACAGTCTGAGGCTAAGACTGGTGTTAGTTTGGCTGGAACTGAGAAAGGTGATACTACAATATTAAATTTGTTTAATGAGAAGAGTTTACTTTTAGTTGGTCATGTTTTTAAAGGTCCACAGCGTAACTTCTTTCATCATTTATTACACTAAAATGTTTTGAGTGTCTACTGTTGTATAATCTGTTGTTGTGTAACCAATTACTCATAAACCTTAATGAGTTAAAGCAACAGACATTTATATCTCACAGTTGTTGTGGGTTGGGAATTCAGAAGTGTCTTTGCTGGGTGGTTCTGGTTCAGGGTTTCTCAGGAAATTGTAATCAAGATGACAGCAAGACTGCAGTCATAGCTTGACTGGTACTGGATGATCTGCATCTAAGATGGCCCACCGAGATGGCTGTTGGCTGTTGGCAAGAGTCCTTGGTTCCTTGCCAGGTGGACCTCTCCATAAGGTTGCTTGATATGTTCTTCATGACAGGTGGCTTCCTACCTGCCGTCCCTGCCCTGAGCCAGTGATCCAAGAGACAACAGCAAGGGGGAAAATCTGCATTTCCTATTGTGACCCAGCCTCAGCAGTTATATACCGTCACCTTCACTGTACCGCAAGGAGGAAAATCTACCATGCCTATTATGACCGAGCCTCAGCAGTTATAGACCGTCACCTTCAGTATATTCTGTTTATCAGAGTCTAATCTCTCAGTATAGCCCACTCTCAATCCGAAAGAAATCAAGCTCCACTTTTCGAAGAGGGGAATGTTAGAGAATTTGTGGACATATTTTAAAACCACCACAATTATATGTCTCCCTTTGTCTTGCTTATCATTCATGTAATCATTCATGCCTTAATACAGTGTTTCCCAGATAATTGAACATAATTATTTGAAATATGAAGAGGCAGAATTATAATTTTACCATTATTAGTTTCTTCATATAGTTCGTATTTTTAATTGACGTACCTAAAAACCAAAACCAAACCTGCTGCCATCGAGTCGATTCTGACTCATAACGACCCTATAGGACAGAGTATAACTACCCCATAGGATTTCCAAGGAGTGGCTGGTGGATTCAGACTGCTGACCTTTTGGTTAGCAGCCAAGCTCTTAACCACTGCACCACCAGGGCTCCTTAATTGACATAGGGGCCATTATTGGACTGGATTTCTAATAGTCCTTGTCATTTTTCTTACCTTTGTATGTAAATTCAATTAAAAAATATTTTAGAATTTGCCATTCTAAGAGTATCATTCTAGGCATTGTGTAAAGCCTATTTAGGTTTGTAACTCTCACTGTAAAAGGAGAGTAGTAGTAGCATCAGAATCTGTCTAACTTTGGGGGATAATGCGAATCAAGATCAGCCCAAGGCTGATCCCTGTGAAGTAGAGGTCAGTCGTACTCCCTTTCTCCCACCTGTCTACCAATTCTGACACCAGCCGTCCTTCCCACGGCACTCTCTACTTCTCTTCTGGGTTTGATAATCTGTTGCAATGGCCACACAGAATTCACAGACCATACAGTTAAGTGGTTTGTTAAGGAACAGGGTAAAACTTGGGTTTAGGATCAGGAAGCATGTCGGCAAAGTCTGGAAGGCTCCCCTGAAGTGGAGAGCACATCTCTTCTCAGCTCCTCTTGGTCATGCAAGCAAGCAGGGCCTTCTGTCTGCCGTACATGCCCCCTCTTAGCCATGAAAGCCTCCGCTCAGTCCCCTCAGGACAGGCCTCCTCCCTTCCCCCTGAGGACAGGCTTCTTCTCAGCTCCCTCAGGACAGACCTCTGCCTTAGTCCTCTCTACTGTGCTCTGCTGACGGGCTGCCAGCCGCCAGCTCTGCCACAGGGCCTCTTCTAGGCCTCTTGCTGTCTTGTGTGCTACAGCCATTGACCTGTGTTACAGCTCTTTAGGAGGTTCCTCACCTCCTCTCTCTCTGCTTCTTCTCTTTCTTGCCTCTCTGGCCTTTTCTCCTTTCCTTCTTCTTTTTTCTGTATGCCAAAGGGGTTGGCTGCTTATATAAGCAAACTTCTCATCAATTTTAAGTCATGATTCTCCTACCAGGGCCACAAACTGACCAATCCCCTCTTGGTAGGCTGCAGGCATTTCATTTGCATAGTAGGCTACAGTCACTTCATTTGAATAAATATATTGACCAATCCCTGCAAGGTACATAAAGTAGACCAATCATGGGGCAGGCCGCAGCCCATGACCAGACAAGAAGTATCCAACCTCAAGTTGTTTACAGCTTACCCAGGAAATGTCAGTCAACCTGGACAAAAGTAACAAATCCTCTGAGGTAGAAAACTAGGGCAAAGGTAACTCCTGAGGGCTTAGGGGGAGAATCTCAAGCTGTTCTTCCAAAGAACTAAGGTAAAAGGCCACATAAAGAAATTCATTTCACCACACCCACATGTGCACTCAGTATCCCTCTCCCTGGTTTATTTTTCTCCGTAGCACGTTCCCACCACTTTTCCCTCCATCTCTCTGCTCCAGCCACACTGGCTTCCTCACCTTTTCTTGGCCTGCATCAGACATTTTTTTTGCCTTCTAGGACTTTTGCTGAATGCGCTTCTCCCAGACTTTCATATGGTTACCTCCCTCCCACCTTTTAGTCTTTTCTCAAATGTCACCTTTCAATGAGGCCTTTGCCAATCACCCCATTTTAAGTCCCACACTGTTCCTCTATAAACATTCCTGATGTCTTTAACTCTGCTATTCTTTTTCTAGTATACTATATCATTTGTTTGCTAGGTTTATTTTTTATTGTCTACTCCAGCTGAAATATATGGTTCCCAAGAGTTGGGGTCTTTTTGAATTTCTCTGTTTTGTTTCACTCTTATATCTCAAGTGCCTAAAACAGATATATGTTGTTGTTTTTGGGTGCTGTTGAGTCGGTTCCGACTCATAGTGACCCTATAGAACAGGGTAGAACTGCCCCATAGGGTTTCCAAGGAGCAGCTGGTAGATTTGAACTGCCGACCTCTTGGTTAGCAGCAGAGCTCTTAACCACTACGCCACCAGGGCTGCTAAAACAGACACATGAGTGCACATAAAATATTTTTTGAATGAGACAATCACTTGTTGTTGGTAGATGCCGTGAGTCGGTTCCGACTCATAGCAACCTTGTGTACAACAGAACGAAACACTTCCAGGTCCTGCGCCATCCTCACAATCGTTCTTATGCTTGAGCCCATTGTTGCAGCCGCTGTGTCAGTCTATCTCATTGAGGGTCTTCCTCTTTTTTGCTGACCTTCTACTTTACCAAGCGTGATGTCCTTCTCTCGGGACTGATCCCTCCTGATAACATGTCCAAAGTACGTGAGACATAGTCTTGCCATCCTTGCTTGTAAGGAGCATTCTGTTTGTACTTCTTCCAAGACAGATTTGTTCGTTCTTTTGGCAGTCCATGCTATATTCAGTATTCCTCGCCAACACCACAATTCAAAGGCATCAACTCTTCTTTGGTTTTCCTTATTCATTGCCCAGCTTTTGCATGCGTATGATGTGATTGAAAACACAATGGCTTGGGTCAGCTGCACCTTAGTCTTCAAGGTGACATCTTTGCTTTTCAACACTTTAAAGAGGTCTTTTGCACACATTTGCCCAGTGCAGTGCATCTTCTGATTTCCTGACTGCTGCTTCCATGGGTGTTGATTGTGGATCCAAGTAGAATGAAATCCTTGACAACTTCAATCCGATTTGTATTTTGCCTACTATCTTTTGTTTCTCTTTCTTTGACTAGAATGTAAGCCCCACGAAGGTAGAGAATTTTGTCTGTTTTATTCACTGCATGTAATACAGTGTCAGGTACATAGTTAGCACTCATTAAACAATTGTCAAATAAATGAAAAAATTGGGTTAATGTCTTTTCATTTGTGCTTGTTAAAATTTTGATTTTCATAGTGGGATCAGCATTATTGTTTTATCATTATAGAATATATGTTTGTTATAAAAATTTCAAACCATATAGAAAAATATAATGAAGAAAAAGCCATCCTGTATAATCATACCTTGCTGTATTTGTTACAATGTATTTATCCTTGTTAACATTTCATTGGTTATGTTCTATCTGCATCTAGGATATGTGTGTATAAATTTATTTTTTATGAAAATTAAATCATACTAGATATTCTGTTTTGTACTGTGTGTTTTTTTCAGTTAATTTACTGTGGACATCTTTACACATCATTCAGAATAGATTCACTTCTTTTTAGGGGCTGCATAGTAGTCTAAATTAAAACATTGAAAATTGTTTATCTAAAACTATACAAAAACTTATCCAAACAATAACTTTCTAACAGTTGATAAACTAAATATGATTGCCAGAGAAATATTAGAAGATAACTATAGTCTAAAGGAGAAATAAAAATAATTCCAGTAAATTCAAATTTAAAGGATAGCAGACAAGATCAGGGGATATCAACAAGGAAAAGGTTTTCATACATTCATTAGAAACTAATATACCAATTCTTAGCAAGGAACTTTATAGCTTTGTATAAAAACTTAGTCACTGTCCTCTAGGAATTTAAAATCTAATCGTATGATAAATATATGACTACAGGTAACTTAAGACTAGGTATGTTAAATGTCAAGAATTGATACAAACAATACTCTGTGGATTGGATTGAAGGATTGAACTAAACTACTGGAAGGGTTCAGAGAAGAAAGTAATTACATCTGACTTGTGTGATTTGAGAAGGCTTCTTTTATTCCAGTCATTCTTTTCTCTTTTCCTTATTACCATGTTCAGAATTGTAATTAGTATTAACATTTTGTCCCAGTTCATGGGAAGTAATTCAGTAAAATATAATCAATTTAATATTTTACCCAGAACATTGGATAATTGAAAGGAACTGCTACATTTCATCCTGTGTTCCTTAACCATCAAAGGTAAGACAGACATAAAGGGATAGGTTTGTTCCTTTTCTATCTTAAAATAGTTTATAGTCATGTTGTATTATTAGATGGCTTCGTTTCATTTTGATGCTGCCTTTCCAATTAAAGCAACTTAAAATATTTTAGTCTAAATAATAGAAGTGTTAATTTTTCTTGGCTTGTTTTTCAGATTGAACTTATTTGCCAGCAAAATAATATAATAGTTTTGGAAGATACAATAAAAAGGCTCAGATCTGTAAGTACATTTTTCATAAATATATTTCAAGTAATTCTATTAGGTTTGTAAGATTGTAAAAAAAATATATACATAGTTTAATTAAATATAGTATATGATATTTTACATATAATATATAGTATCATATATATAATAGAAGGCTCTCATGCCTTTTATGACCTATAAAAATTTTTCACTTTCCAAAGAGGTACCGCCATCTGTAAGAGTGATGTTTTCCTTGCTCCATTTCATCATTACTCCTTTCTATTCCGAGAGAGAGAGAGAGAGAGAGAAAGAGAGAACTTTTGGTTGGCTTTATTAATGGCCTTGGCTGTTAATTAATTTAAAATGAGTAGTTTAATTCTCTAAATGTAAAGCGTACTTGTCTACAGATTAATTTATATTTCCCTTAGTAATAAATGTTTTTTAAACCATGAATTTTTTATTTAATTCTGAGTAATGTGTTTTCTTTAAGTAACAGTGGGAAATGAAAATTACACTATTTAGACATTTTAATATTATCATTTAAAATAGTTGAAATACTCTGAAAGTATACCTGTAATTTTCTTCCAATAAAGTATTGGTAAATAAATGTTGTAAAAGAAATGTTTCTAAGTGTAATCAAAGTGAAGGGAATTCATGGAAATGCACTTGAATGTGCATGTTGTCGTTAGGTGCCGTCTCATCAGTTCCGACTCATAGCGACTCTGTGTGGCAGAACAGAACTGCCCCACAGGGTTTTCTAGCCTATAATCTTTATGGGAGCAGATGGCCTTGTCTTTCTCCTGCAGAGCGACTGGGTGGATTCAAACTGCATACAAGTGTAGATATAGCCAGCAGTCATTTATTTGTTCATTGAACAATTATTGAACAAAACTTAAGCACTTTTAAAAGATGCTTTAATAGTAGCATGTACGTTTTTCAAAAGCAAATTAATTCCATTTCTAGGACTTGTATGAGGTCTGTGGACATTTCTGGCATGTCCAGTATTTCTTTACCATTTTTTCTTCAAAATGATTGAGTTAAATAAATACATAACACATCCAGGAATGTTGGAAAAGAAAGATATCTAACTGCTCTTTAAAAGTATTGTTGAATTATTTTAAAATTTTTATATTCTTGAATACCAAATTTTGGCATTTTAATACCAATTTTAAGGATTCTGTTTGTTTTCAACTTTGATTTAGAAAATGATGCTATAGTTTAGCTTGAAATAATGGCCTAATTTTTTCCTCCTTGGCAAGATAATTTTAGAGACTGAAAAAGCACAAAATAAATCTCCTTCCAGACTTGATTCCTTTGTCAAGACTTTAGAAGCAGACAGAGATTACTACAAGAGTGAAGCTCAGAATTTGAGAAAGATGATCAGAAGTAGATCGAAAAGTCCAAGACGCCCGTCTCCATCTTCCCGGGTAGGTTTTGGAAACTTGTAAATATTTTTGGAGCTTTTTGCTCAAACACTAGCTTCTATTCTTTGATTTACCTGATCTGGAAAGAATTCATTTTGATTTAGCGTGAAATTGCTCAATCAGAGAGGTTGGGCAGCAGAGGTCTCTTTGGCAGCACAGTGGACCACAGGTGTTGGTTCTTATCCCCAGCATTAGTAGTGGTTGGAAGGTGACCAGACAAAGGTGGAGGAATTTGGGATGAGGCTCTTTAGAAGAGAGGCATTTTTTGACTCTTTTTCCATCAGTTCCTCTTAGGATTATACTCATGCTTACCTAAGTTGAGATTGTGTACTGCCATCAGAATCTACTAGTACCACATGGCAAACAGGAATTTTAAATTTCTTACATAATAATTGTAGGGTGCAAACTGTGATGTAGAGCTTTTGAAGACAACAAGGGATCGTGAAGAACTTAAATGCATGCTGGAAAAATATGAGCGTCATTTGGCAGAAATTCAGGGTAATGTCAAGGTTCTTACATCTGAGAGAGACAAGACCTTTCTTCTGTATGAACAGGTAAGCTTATGTTTAAATAAAGTATGTAACTAATAACGTTCAGTTCTAAGGTATGGAATTATTCTTAAGATCTGTAAGAGTGCTGAAATCTGCCAGTCAAGTTAATCTAAAATTTGGGAATTGCATTCGTTCTTAAGATATTCTGAATGAAATGTTGTGTATTTTCCAAAATATTATGTTGATTGGTAAGTGTATGTGAACATGCACGTATATGTTATCCCCTTATTTAAGAATCATACACGTGCATAAACATCGTCTGATTATTGGAATAAGAAATGGGGAAAGTGTTAAATGATAGGGTATGGTGAGTTCAAGGTGTAAAGATTAGAATTTGGGGGTAAAAAAAATACTGACATCACTTCGAAGTATTATGAATCACTTTGGGAAATGCCGCATAATTTGCTTAATTTCGAAAAAATCAGTCTTTAGTTTATCTACATTTTCTAGCTTAAAATTTTATAGCCCTTATTAATCAAATAGCTTCTTTATCCAATAAATATTAAACTCCAGAAACAACAAATATAATTAAAAAAAAATTTAAAGTTTATTAATAATTACAGTTATGTGGTTCTTTAAAGACAAAGTATTAAAATGCTCAGGAATTCAATTCAGCTTATATGTTATCTACTGTATGTAGGGTTCTGGGCTTACTACTCTAAGGGATAGAGAAAACAATAAGGTGTAGACCCTGTTTTCTATAAATTTGTAGTCTAGTCGGGGAGATAATGTATATTCTCTTGTATTTATTTTTTGTTAGTGTTCTAGAAGGTATTGAAGAAGTAAAAGAAGTGGGCATTTTTAGTTATGGTGATCAAGTAAATCTTTGCTACAAGGAGTCTGAGCCTTGAAGGATGGACGGGATTTCTGTTACCCCTAAAAGGGCCTGCAGGGACTTTCTAGACTGAAGGAACCGTATGAGGCAGAGGACAAAGGCAGGAAAATCCATAGGTGGTAAGTAGGTTAGTTTCAGACTAGAACAGACATATACCTATGTCAGTGGAGTAAGGGGGAGCTAAACCTTGAAAGACAGATTACCTAGAGCAGGAGCTTACAAACCTTTTCTTTAAAGAACCAGATAATAAATATTTTCAGCTTTGCATCCCCTACAGTCTCTGCCACAACTGTTCCACTCTGCTGGTATAGCATGAAAGCAACCACAGACAGGGAGTAAAGAGATGAGTGTGGATGTGTTACAATAAAACAATATTTATGGACACTGAAATTTTAATTTCATATGATTTTTGTATGCCATGAAATATTCTTCTTTTGATTCTCTTTCAATCATGTGACAATGTACAAACCATTCTTAACTCACAGGCATTCTAAATAGGTAGTAGACTTCGTTTGCCTTCTGAGCCATGCATAGTTTGCCGACCTCTGGACTAAATGGTAGAGATTGTTCAGTGGGGCATGTAAGGGGCTTATACTTTGCCCTATAAGTAATAGGCAATCTAGGTTTTTTTTTAAAGCAAGAGAGATATGAACAAAGCGTTTTTACAATATTAACCTGGTGCAATCTGTTTTCTCTTACATAATCTTTCTGTATTTTCTTCCTATATAACTTAACCCCTCCTGAGGAGAGATTGTAGGAGGGAGAGACCAGGGACAGTGAAACTCTTTAGTCCACACTTGAGGTATTAAAAACTGAGCTAGGGTGTTATCAGTGGAAATACACGTAGGGGCAGATGCAAAAGAAGGAAGGTTTGACAAGATACGATTTTAGGAGGAAGCAGGGGGAGTGGGAATAACTGAAGTTCTGTCTCAAGTGACTGAGATAATTGTGGTAGTAGAAGAAGAAATAGGAAAGTTATTGCTAGTTTGAGGGGAAAGATACTACTTTGGTTTCAGACAGTATGATGATGGTGGTACATTTGGGTAGTAATTGCCATTAGGCGGTAGGCAGTGTGGGGACAGAGTGGGCAGAGGGGAAGAACTGAATATGTAGATATAGAAATCTTTGCTTAGGGATGAATTTTGAGGCTTCAGAGTGGATGAGATCTCTGAATGAGAAAGCTGGACATAAAGGAGCAAAGAGGAGCCTTTGAAAGAGATAAAGAGGGCAGAGAACCAGAGTAGGACAATGTTATAAGGCCTAGGGAGGAAGGAATTTCAAGAAGCGTGTCAAAAACAATGTCAAATGTCACAGAAATATCAAGGAGCACGGGAACTGAGATAAGGCCGTTGGGTTTGGGGAGTAGAGCTCATTAGTGGAAATCAGGAATTCTGATTCTGCAGAGTGCTGGGCTGAGCACTAAGTTACGCTAGAGTGAGAGAATGGGTGGTTAAGGACTACTGGCAGCTGGTACAGGCATTAGTTCATTGTGGAGCCCTGGAGGCGCAGTGGTTAAGAACTTGGCTGAATTCATATTTTCACCATAAAACAGATAAATGTGTATACTATATTCTTAGCAAAACCATTAAAATTTTTTTTTTATTGTTGTGGTTAAATATTAATACATAACAAAGTAGTTGACAATTCAGTAATCTTCACATGCACAGTTCCAAAACAATTTCTCTTGCAATGATGTCCTCCAAATTCATTATTTTTATTTTGGCAAAGATATTGTAAAGCAGACTTACATTTGTATAAGCTCATTTGCATTTATGTGTATAAACTCATTTGTTAAAATAAAAATTACACCATTACCCTGCTGTAGGGTAGAACTGCCCCATAGGGTTTCCAAGGAGCGCCTGGTGGATTCCAACTGCCAACCTTCTGGCTAGCAGCTGTAGCTTTTAACCACTATGCCACCAGCGTTTCCCATATTAATATAGGTTTGCATTTTAACTGGTTGGATATAAGATAACTATTTATGTCTGTTTTAAAACTTGTTAAAGCAGGATAGATCTATGTATTTTATTAATAGGCCCAGGAAGAAATTGCCCGACTTCGACGAGAAATGATGAAAAGCTGTAAGTCTCCTAAATCAACAACAGCGCATGCTATCCTGCGGCGGGTGGAGACAGAAAGAGATGTAGCCTTCACGGATTTACGCAGAATGACCACAGAACGAGATAGTCTGAGAGAAAGGCTAAAGGTTAGAGGACATTTTCTCTGTATGAACACGTACGAGACACATATGCAGAGAAATCAAAGACACTTTATTTTGTTTTTATGTTTGAACAGATTGCTCAGGAGACGGCATTTAACGAGAAGGCTCACTTGGAACAAAGGATAGAGGAGCTGGAGTGTACAGTCCATAACGTAAAGAAAAATCCGTTTCACGCGTTTGGCTATAAACTGTTAATGCTTTTCCCTTGCCCCTTTTTCTGTCTTCAAAGTTCTTTTATTTTTTTCTAAGATAAAATACTGTATAGTACTTGTCATCCTAAAATATATAAAGGTGGTATATGTGGTATAATTTGTCACTTTTTCACTTGTTTATTTCCTTCTGAAAATGTGAGTAAAATCTTTTTTATGTTAGGTTGCAAAAAATGTATATTCTTTTTTAAAAAAAGTTAGGAATGCAGTCTCAGGGATTTTAGCAACTTTCTCATCTCCCCATTTCATTAAAGAAGGTATTGTCATATATGGAGAAAATGGCTTATTCTACGTAAGGCAAGGATAGAGCAGAGAAAATTATGATGAAATAAAAATTAATGAAAAAATATATTTGAATTGAGTGTAAATGTGAATCATTATCTTTTTTTTACTAATCAAGTTAAATTGAGATGCTATGAATATATATTTGAGATAACTATGAATATACATAAAAATTAAGGGAATTTTATTTTCTGTACCAAGTTTGATTGAATATTTTTATAAATTCATCTGTAATATGTGGTTATGAGTTTTAAAAAATACAGTAAACAGGAGAAAAACAATAATCCCACTTTATACATGTAATTTGTTAATGTTGGACAACAAAGAAGAAATCCTTTTGTGAATAGGATGCATACCACATTTTTACGTAAATAATGTACACGTTGTACATTTTTTGCAACCATGCAACCACCTCGTGCATTATTTTCCTAGGCGTGCTATGCCCATTATGTGTGGGCACGTTATTTGTAAGAAAATGCAGTGTATGCACAACTGGACTAAACCAAAACTAAGAAGTTTCCTGAATACAGTCAAACACTTTGAGGGACACAGTAGCAGGGGCACAGGTCTGGGGACCATGCTTTCAGGGGACATCTAGGTCAATTGGTATAACAAAGCTTATTAACAAAATGTTCTGCATCCTACTTTGGTGAGTGGCATCTGGGGTCTTAAAAGCTTGCAAGCGGCCATCTAAGATGCATCAATTGGTCCCAACCACCTGGAGTAAAAGAGAACGAAGAACACCAAAGACACAAGGAAAGTATTAGCCCAAGAGACAGAAAGGACCACATAAACCAGAGTCTACATCAGCCTGAGACCAGAAGAACTAGATGTGCCTGGCTACCACCAATGACCGTCCTGACAGGGAACACACAGAGAGTCCCTGATAGAGCAGGAGAAATGTGGGATGCAGAACTCAAATTCTAGTCAGAAGACCAGACTTAATGGTTGACTGAGACTGGAGGAACCCCGGAAAGCGTGGCCCCTGGATTCTCTGTCAGCCCAGAACTAAAACAATATCTGAGGCCAACTCTTCAGACAGGGATTGGACTGGACTGTAGGTTGTAAAGTGAAGGTCGTGAGGACTGTGCCTCTTAGCTCAAGTAGATACAAGAGACTAAATGGGCAGCTTCTGTCGGGAGGTGAGATGGGAAGACAGGAGCTAGTTGAATGGACGTGGGGAATCGGGTGAAAAGGAGGAGTGTGCTGTCACAGTATGGGGAGAGCAGTTAGGGTCACATAACAATATATGTATAAATTTCTTGTATGGGAGACTAACTTGAAATGTAATCTTCATTTAAACTACAACAATAAAAATAAATAAATGAATAAAAATGTGGTATATGCTATAGTCATACTGAACCAGGTTGAGAAACATAGACTGATACACCAGGATAGGTTTATAGAAAAGCTATGCAGTGGCTTGTTCTTGTTGATCCTACCCAATCCCTGTCCATAAAACCTCTCACGGCGTTCAGGTCTTACCCCATCTTCTCTTCATGTAAATCTTGCCATAAACCACAGTTTGTACAAAGTGAGTATGTCTCTTTTGAAAGATTAAGGCTTTTCAGCGATGGCAGTAACTTTGTCGTTTTACTTGTGTAGCTCGATGATGAACGTATGGAACAAATGTCCAATATGACTTTAATGAAGGAAACCATAAGCACCGTGGAAAAGGAAATGAAATCCCTAGCGAGAAAGGCAATGGACACCGAAGGTGAACTTGGCAGACAAAAGGCAGAGAATAATTCTTTGAGGTAAACTAAATTACCTTTAAACCACTAATAGTTTAATAGCTGTGCTTTTTTTATACAGTGTACTTTATAATGAAAATTAAGTTATTTGTTGACTTTAATTTCTGAGATGATTATTATGAAGCAGTCAGAGAAACGTCAGCCCATATTAATGATTTCCCCGACATTAATCACAGACTAGTATGCCACATTTAACTGGAAATCAGATTTCTAGCTATCTTAATCTTACATTTGCAAAAAACCTCAATGTTTATCTGAAACAGCTGTCCAGGCCCTTCTGGGTACAGAGCACAGCTGGTTATTTAACTTACCTTTATAAGTTTAAATTCTGTTCTAGGATATGATCAGGTTTGACAGTAAGGGATAGCTTAGAGTATAATGAAAAGCAGAGAAATAGGAACACGTAGTGGAATTTCTGTTAACTGAATGCCAAGTACTGTGCTTACCCTTCCCACCTACTGGTTTGGTAGCAGAAGAAATACCAATTAAAGCAGCCCACAGCCAATAAATACTTGGCAATAAGTTTTGGAAGATCTTTATGTGAGTGGTTTTACTTTTAGTATTTATTGATATGAGAAATAGAGGGTTCACAGATTAAAGTTGAATTTTCAGCATGTCTATGAATATTTGAAAAATAGTAATTCATATGAATGTAAAGTATATTATTAAGTCTACAAACAATACTTGGTCCCCATATGAATTCTCAAAGTCCCTCACTGGTGTTTTAGGGGTGCGTAGGTTGGAATCACTTACTAGGACAGATAATCACTCAAACTTCTTTTCCTTCACCTGTTTTTTTTTTTTTTTAATTTCCTGCTTATAAAAGTATTGCAAGCTCAGCTAAAGCAAAAACAATAGTAAAACAAGACACAACCACAAAAAAAGAAAACCTTGTATATAGAGAAAAGTGTGAAGAAAATTTGAATCACCTGTGATTCCGTAACCCAGAGAAGACTATTACTTCTATAGATCGGTTTCCAGCCAGAAAAATTTCTGTCTGTGTGTATATAAGCTTTTTATGTAATTGAAATCATCCTGTATAAAGTTATATATTTGGCCAGTTTCACTGAATTATATATGATAAGCTTTTCCTCATGTCATCAGAAGTTCTTTGAAAGCATTTTAGTGGTTTATTAAAATATGCTAACAGATAGATGTAAAATAATTTTGGTTTTGTGTACATTTTTTTTTAACAATTTTATTGAAGTATAATCGACATATCTACAGTAAACTGCACATATTTAAAGTGTAGAGTTTGATAAGTTTTGACATTTGACCTGTAAAACCATCACCACAATCAAGACAGTGGCCATATCCACCACTCCCAAAACCTCATGTCCCTCTGGAATCTCTCCTTCCGGCCCTCTGCTACCCTCCTCTTCCCGCCCGGCCCCCCATCTGCCCATAGGCAACTGTGATCTGCTTTCTGTCATAGAGATTTGTTTGGATTTTCTGTAATTTTATACACATGAAATTACACAGTATGGGTTCTTCTGTCAGGCTGCTTTCACTCAGCATAATTAGAGATTCATTTATGTTGCTGTGTAGATCAATGGTTCACTCTTATTTTACAGCTGTTGTTCCACATAGGCATCTGGGTTGTTTCCAGTTTTTGGCTATAATAAATAAAGCTGCTACGAACATTCTTATATGAGTCTTTGGGTGGAGATATGCTTTATTTCTTTTGGAAAAATACCTAGAAATAGAACAGTATGTTTGATGTATATTTAACTTCTGAAAAAAACTGTTAAACTGTTTTCCAGAGTGGTTGTACTATTTTATTTTATATTTGGACAAGCAGCATATAAGTGTTCCAGTTGTTATAGACCATATTTTTACACAAATAATGTGCCTTCTGCATTTGTTTGCCAACTGTGCCCTCCCCCGTGAGGAATTTTCATAAGCACCACTATGCCAATTTTTTTTTACATGTCACTGTAAAAAAAATTAGCATAGCATGCTTACAAAGATACCTCATGGTAGGAGGACGCAGTTGGCAAATATAGAAAGCCTACGTTATTCGCGTAAAATTGCAGTAGTCTCACCAAAACTTGGTATGAAGTGTCTTTTTAATTTTAGCCTTCATAGTCGGTATGTATTGTGGTTTTAATTTGACCTTCCCTAAAAACCAATGATTTTGAGCATGGGTTCATGTACCTATTTGCCATCCATGTATCTTCTTGTGAATTTTGTGTTCAAATTTTTTGTACACTTTTATTCAGTTTATCTTATTAAGTTCTAAAAATTCTGTCTGTATTCTAGATATAAGTCCTTTGTCAGATACATGTTTTGCAGATATTTTCTCCCAGTCTGTGGCTTGCCTTTTTGCTTTTTAGCAGTGTCTTAAAGAGCAAAGCTTTAAGTTTTGATGAAGTGCAATTTATTAATTTTTTAAAAAGTTATATCAAGCATTTTGTGTTTTTTTAGGAAATTTTTGTCAGGTCAAGGCCCCTAAGATTTTTTCCTGTTTTCTTCTAGCAGTTTTATAGTTTTAGTTCTTACCTTTAAATCTATGATCCATCTGAAGTTAATTTTTGTATGTGGTATAGGATACTTTTTTTGCATGATATCCAATTGTTCCAGCACCATTTGTTGAAAAGAATATCCTTTCTCCACTGAATTGCCTTTGCACCTTTGTAGAAAGTCAGTTGTCCGTGTATGTGTGAGTTTATTTCTTGATTATTTATTTTGTTCCATGGATTTATTTGTATATCTTGATGCCAATACAATACTCTTAATTGTGTAGCTCTATGTCTTCCAATCAGGTAGTGATAGTCCTCCAACTTTGATTTTTAAAAAATCATTTTGGCTATTCTAGTTCTTCTGCATTTAATTTTAATTTTAAAATCAGCTTCACAACTTCTGCAAAAATGTCTACTGGGTATTTGATTGCAATTGAGGAGAAATGACATCTTAGCAACACTGAGTCTTCCCACCTATGAACACAGTGTAACTCGCCATTTATTTAGGTCTTCTTTAATTCCCTTCAGCAGACTTTTGTAGTTTTTAGGCCTTGCACATCTTTTGTCGCATTTATCCCTGTGTATTTCTTATTTTTTTTTTTTAATATTTTATTGTACTTCAGGTGAAGGCTTACAGAACAGATAGTTTTTCATGTAACAGTAACACACATGCTGTTTTATGACATTGGTTAACAACCCCACAACATTTTAACCCTCTAAATACTCAACTTTTTTCTTTT